AAATCAATATTTAAAATTTTATTAAAAATTTTAAAATATGCAGGCAAATTTGCCTGTGTTACAATCTAAGGGATAATGCCTACTTATTCTATAGAATATCCGAAAGATCTGCTTATAAAATAGATATATAGTTTGAAGTCCTAGTAGAATTTTAATATGAATTTATTTTAAGATATATTACACAGATCTGAATTTGATATATTCTACACCTATTCTATATATAAAATATCTCACATATATCTGTAAACCAACTATATATATTCTACACATATTCTATATATATTCTATGAATTTAAATATTTGTATAAAATTTGTATACTATACATGTACTATATGTATAAAATATCTTATACTATTCTTACTTATCTGCTATCTGATTTGTATAGTTCAAGTATAGAATATATTAAATTTTGATCTGTGTTAATAGCTAGATTGAAGAGAGCCAAGAATTAAAAAAAAAGATGTTTTATTAGAGATAATAGAAAAGATTTTTGTAGAATATTTTAGAAATCAAAAAATTTTTATTAAAATACAAGAAAAGTTTTTAAGAAAAAAACCAAGCTCAGAAAAAAAAAACTATTAAAATTTCTAACTGACCACTGAAATATTTTCATGTAATTAATTCTGTAAAATGACGAATCGAATAAATGTGTCAAAATTTCTTAGGTCCCGTAAACAATTCTGCTTGTAAAACAAACAAGTACTTTTGTTACCATGTGGATTACATAAATCTGATCACAAGGATTTATGATAAATGTTGGCGCAGTATATCGATGCATATTACTGATACGTACGGAGCCGTCGGTATGTCCCACAATGATCTGTAACACGATTTACTTAAGTGTACTAATCTGTTGCGCTATACTCGGTTTTTACCTTGATGGTTCCGGCTAGTATTCATTCAAAATCAAATCTCTTTAAGCATATATTTTACCAAAACAAGTATTACCAATTTAGTTCTGTGGTGACTTTACGCCTGTGTATTTAACTTTTCCTCTTTCGTTACGTGGTGATTCAACATACAGTTAAAAAAAAAAAAAAAAAAAATTTCGCATCAGATTACAAAAAACTCAAAAATAAAGTACAGTTCACATATCCCCCAAAAAAATATTACGTATAAAATATTATAAAATATTATACGTAAAACATTATTAAAATATTATAAAACATTATTAAAATATTATAAAACATTAGTAAAATATTATTAAAACATTATTAAAACATTATTAATAACGTTATAAAAATATTATTAATAACGTTATAAAAATATTACGTATTAATAACGTTATACGTAAAAATATAAAAACAAAAAAAAAATTATAAATTTCCAGTAGTGATTATTAAAACATCACCCAATAACAAATATATACTTTCCATGGAAATCTAGGAAATCTAGAATCACCACTTTAATATCACATCTTAATTATTTCACAGAGGTAAAGAAAATTAAGATCATTTAAAAAAAAATTAAGCAATTCGAAATTAAGAATGTAATTCTCAGAATTGACGAAATTCTCAGGAACACAATGTGTTGACATATCTTACTGTCGAACAAGCTCACAAGACCAAGAAAAAAAAGAAATTAGGATTACTTCGAATTCCTAATCCGATCTTTCTTCCGTCGCATCAGCCGTCAAAACGGTACGCATATTTAAATTTAAAATTATATGCGTTACAATCTAATTGGGTAATTGGCGTCGACCATTGACATCACATTCATCGAAACAATGAACATTAAATTAAAAATTAACAAAAAATTTTTCGAGTTGACGTATACATTATACATATGTAACCAGTTCTATTAGGAATTTTTTGCGCCCTGATTTTTTTTTTTTTTTTCAAGTATTTATATCCATTTGCTTTTTAGATAGTAAAAGAACCCCAAAGCATTTCACATACGTACATACGTTATAATCTCCCCAACCTAAGGGGATAATGGTCGAGATTAGGAATTATTAGGATTTGGTGATGATTCGATTTTAGATCTTTTTGGATTTGAATAAATCGAAATTTGGAGTTTTGTTGACACTAGCTTAATTTAGTATTGACAGCAGTTGTTGATCTATTACCTAGCATAAATTTAATATAAAAATTCGTTCAAAAATATATCAAATATATCAAATATATCAAATATATCAAATATATCAAATATATTATTAAATATATCGATATATAGAGATTTAACAAGTTATTAATCAATTAAAATTTAGGGTCTAATACATTTTTAGTACCCTAAATTAATCAAGAATTAATAAACGTGTGCTTTGACCACTTATTAAAATCACTCCGAATATCTTTGATATTTGTAAGATTTTAATTAGTAATGATTTTATAATAATGATTGAATATATAACGATAAAGCCTGTTATCTAAATGTAGGACAAGATGGAAGATTAAGATATCAATTTACCGTTTTATCATTATAATTTAATTATACGTACATTCGTCTTGCTTTATCATAAATTACCATAGAAGGTAATTATCAGAATGGCATTAGAGATAACGAAAGACGGAACACCCTTTGAGTTACAAGATTTCCTTATCTTAATATGTCTTGGCGGAATGAATATATGTGTTACTAGTTTCATAACACCATTACTCAAAACGCATATAAATAAAAGATTTGGCGAGAACATAAAAAAATTTTTTTTTTATATATAAAGATTTTCATAGTACAGTTAAAGAATCATTGTTTACGCCAAAACACGTCATTGGCATACTTGGAGTTTGATCATGGTGTTACACCCATGACTAGTATAAACTTCGTATAGATATTAGGATATTATGCAATTCATCATAATACCGAATTTAAATAAATGAGCTAACAGTCCAGGAAATAACCTGACCCGAGAGTTCAAACACGGGACTTTGTTGACATGAAAATCTCTAAATAAATTATGAATTTAAAATTGCATGCTGCGATTTAAAATAAATTCATTAACTATACCTGGTTTCTTAATACAAGAAATTTCAAGTGTTTCTTTGAAAGGCAATTCTTAATTCATAAATTAGCAAAGAATATAATTTTTTTTTTTTTTTGGAAAAGATCCGCGTGATTCGTTGTTTAATAACCTTGTCAATTGATTGGTTATCTAATTTCTTATTTTGGAAAGTTAATCGATTTAAAGTTCGCGTCCGTGGTTACCGTAATGTCGCGCGACAGATACGATTTTTTACACGAGACTGTAATCCAGAAATATTCTATGGTTCTATCTTTATGAGAACTGGTGTTGAAAATAATGTTGGATTATGTTATCTTTTGATTCGTATAAGACCAATGAGGGTTTTACGTATTGTACATTTCACAAAATGGTTAGTGAAAACCTTTTTATGGATTTTTTTTTATGGCTCAATAATTCTTAAGAATCTTTTTTTATCTGAAACAAGATTGAATTGCGGAATTGCGGAATTGTGGAATGAAAGGTGTAATTATTCTTCTCCTTATTAGGAAGGCATAATATAGTATATGGTATATATTAATTCTTATAAAATTGTATAATGGGTTAACTCCGAAATTTTGCGCACAATGTATTCCTAAATTTATGTAAGTAACAGATACGTAGTAGCATATACGTAGCATATACGTAGTAGCATATACGTAGCATATACGTAGTAGCATATACGTAGCATATACGTAGCATATACGTAGCATACACTAGCATATACTAGCATATACTTAGCATATAGACAATAATATTAAGTCACAAGGGGCGGGGCTTATCTATTATTCAATGATTAAAATGATTAAATGATTAAAATGATTAAAGCAATTTATCACATTAAAATATTTTTTTATTGTAAATCACAAATAATGATCTCTGTAGACTAAAAAAAATATATAACAATTAACAATATACATAATATAAATATTTTTAATAACGAAAACTTTCCATATTGTTGTCATTGGCGTTCCGTGTGAAATCTATAAAAAAAATCGCCATGGGTTACAAAGCGTGTACAGTTTTCTTTATGGTATTGTCATATTAGTATATAGTGTTAGTATATGAGACACCCTCGGGTATGTCAAATAGTTTAGTATAAAACACGCGGTGTTACTAAGACATATTTAACATTGTCCGTATGACATGAAAAGAGTTATTCTAAATCTTGCCAAATGAAAAAAAAAATTTATCCGAAATTTTATTTATTTGGTACATGTGGATTGCCAAAATAAATTTACTTTAAACCTTTGGGAACCAAATTTTAGGCCCTTTTAATAATAATAGAACCCTCCAAATAAAATTAAAAATC